CCCAACTCTGACAATGTTCGTCACATGATGAACTAAAGCTCAGCCCGTCTTTGCCTGGAACGTTGCAGGATCTCTCGTGAACTGCATCAATCTGAACGTCGTATTAATGCTAAACGGCTGCAGTACAACGCGAATCAGCCAACGTCTTCTGATGGGATTGACCTACAAATCTCATCATGCATTTCCATACGAAGTGAAAATCTTAATATCTCTCTTCGTATCTAAAGCGCTTTTGATGATCAAACTTATCAGTATTCCTATCTTCACTATGTAGTTGTGATGAGACTGGAAATTTGGGATTATTCTTGAATGTGGTTTCTGTCTGATCTAAATATCCAGGAAAGATAGTCTCTCGTCCTCCATCTTTATTGTGAATTAAATTATTTCATAAAGCTGAGGAATCGATGAATCACAGGGCGGTGGGCAGAGGATCTTCTCGGACAAATCTTCAACCACAGTTCTAAGACAACCCTCCCGCAATCTACGGTGGAACCAACTTACGAATCCCTTCCACTCGCCTCTTAAAACGAAATGAAAGGTACTCCGACATCAATCTATCAAAGGATTCTTCGAAACCCAATTTTTCTACATACCTATGGAATATTTATTGTTGTCCATTCAAATCTTAATGTTCAAGGTGATAATTCACGATTTCACCCTTACGAAGACTTATTAATAATATCAATATATTTTGCCTTATACGAGCATTAGTTTGATGTGGTCACATTTTTCATACTTTTAAATTAATGATATATCTTTCCATCCAAACCAGCTTATTCTTTTCACTTAATTTTTTTTCAAAAGTTTATCCTCTTTCGTTCAAATTATGCTAGCGCTTTTTAGTTTATACTAACTCTGTGGATTGACTCGATATTTCAGATAGCTAAATAATTTTGCGTCATTTATTCTTTTTACTCCTTATTTTACAAAGGGGCAAATTCCAATTTTCCCCAAAAATTGTCATAGTTATGGCCTCCTAACAATGGGTAGGTTACACTTATATTCTTCTTTTGGAGACATTTGGTGGAAATCTATTTTCTAAATTGTCCCACCAATAAAAAAGGAAGACAGTTTTATTTGTATGGTTTTTCCAAAACATTTACTTGGTATAATTTAGATAAATTTAAATTTTTTAGCAGCTTGCTATGAATACAGCCCGTAGGTTGAAAGCTTCTTGTATTGATCTTTCATATGTTTTTGGATTTATTTACAAACGGCCAGGAGAGATCGAAAGTAATAAATGTTGTAGTTAATAATCATCTCCCGGATAAATTATGTTTTGTTTGCTACCTCATTCACTTTTTTGTGTATATATCCTTGCTAGCTGAATAAACATGCTCCTGATTTTATTATTAAGTACTATATTTTAAAATGCTATTATTTCAATTCAAAACTTTATTTGTTTATTTTTAGCCCGAACAGGACTATATATTTTATCGGTCTAGGAGCCGGTATCTCAGTCTCAGCTTTATGGAGCTTCCTTTTCTACTACAGACCACTACGAAGAGCGTGCATCTTTATCTTGACAATCGTATGAGAATGCTTGAAGAAAGAAGCAGTGCCTTTCCTAATTACCTAACAGAAACTCCCTATTTTAAATTGCGAATTGCTCGAGATCGTGTTGTTGAAGATGCCCTCTTGGCAGTAAGTTCTCTTGCGACAGATTTAGCATTTGCTTATTCCAAGATATGATATTTAGTTAACGTATTTCGCTTTTTATTCGTTTCCTCAATTTCGTGAAACCATTGCCTGAATGAAAATCTGAACTCAACTCACTATTTTTATGGATATCTTGTTGCATTACCAAAAAGTTATCCTTTATTTGTGGTGAAATATTTAGTTTCTTTATAAATATTTATGATATTTTTATAATATGTCTTACAGTTGGAAATCACCTGTACTGAAAGCCCTGGTGATTTAAAAAAACAGCTTTATGTCGAATTCGAAGGGGAGCAAGGTATTGACGAAGGAGGTTTAAGCAAGGAATTTTTCCAGATGATAGTCGAGCGCCTCTTCAATCCTGATTATGGTTTGTCTTACCTTATTATCTATATTACATAATTAATATCTTTTTCATCATTTTTTCTCTCCTTTGTTCCTGATTTTGATTAGATCCCGAGCTTTTCCGGATTATACTTGCTCAATTTCTGACTATAGCATGCCTGCATGTAGCCTCTTCAATACCTACTTTCAATTTATTCATTATTCATATGTACTTATTTTACTTTTATTTATTTTGATTCATCTAAAAATTTCGTTACAGGCTGCATTTATCCTACTTGTTTTGTTTCGTTTTCATTTTACCCTAAATTATCCAATGGCGGATTCGTTGGCCGGTTGCACTTTAGCTAACTTGCTAGATTGACCTATGTACCATGTAGTTACGACCATAGAGTCTCATTCATATCATAAAAAAAGATCAGTATTAATTGGAAAAATGAAATATGGTGCCACGTCGAGTTATGAGGAATTGCTGGAAAATTATGTGACACTCAAATAATCAATTCTTTAATTCCTTCCTTCGACCTAGGCTGACTCGAGTTCTTATTTAAGATATACTGATGGTTTCAAAGTATGATCATTTGGTATTTATTTTTTTAATCGTTCTTCAGTTGCCTAATTTTTCATTTATTAATATTGGGTTTACATGGTATTGATTCGTGGAGTATCTGAAATGCTTAGTTCTAAATTTAGTTATAATTTACTTTTTCATTTTTTGTGTAGATGGTTATGAGAATTTACTCTTACTTTGAGTTAACTCACTTCCTTCGTGTTTTGTACCACGAAATCGGGCAAATACATTACCTAAACTCCCACCAACTTGGCAGAATATAATACTGCACTCATTTAGTCCCTTTGTATCATTGATTTTTAAGCATCACTTTATACAAGTTATTTTCTTTTAAAGTCATCTAAAATTCTTTTTATTTTAAGGCATGTTTACCTATGATCAGACTATGAAATCATACTGGTTTAACTCAGCCCCCGTCGAGGATATGGATCGAGAGTATTGCTTGATCGGCACCGTTCTTGGCCTAGCGATTTACAATCACGTTATTCTTGATGCGCAATTTCCAACAGTGCTTTATCGCAAACTGGTTGGAAAACTGGGAACTTTCGAAGATCTTAAGGAAGCTCAACCTGTAAGGCCGTTGTCTTTAAACATATTACCAAGATAATATACTATTATTTTTAAGGATAGGATTTTTTACTGTTAAGTATTTGATATCACCTATCTTCATTCTCTGCACTCGCTTTATTCGTAAATCACTTCG